GCCCGGACGCCGGGTTTCCCCTCCATATGTTACCATGTTGGTATTTTCTGATGTATCCTGGGGCGTTCTTGCCCAATTGATGGTTAGTCACTTGCGTGAAGAACCAGGGAGGGTGTTCGTGAGTCTGCGAACATTGCTGTTGGATACATGTGCTGGATGATTTTGTGTCACGCAGACTGGTAAGATAACCGTTTGATAGGGGGCACCGCGATGATTCACGGGGCCCCTCCTTGCTGTGGGAGCCGCTCTTTGAGCACTCCCTCTTTCGTCCGTGTGAAGGACGGTCGTCTACCTCCCGTGAAGTTAATACATCACCAAAACAGTCTCACCCGATAAATAAGTGGCGTAGGCCGCAAACATGAAGTGCCTTCGAGCGAAGCTAGTCGACCCGCATTGGGACCGCACACTGCACCACGCCAAAAATCCCGTGAAGTGCCTCCGAGCGAAGCGAGTCACACGGCACTGGGACCGCACATTGCACCACGCCCAAAATCCCGTGAAGTGCCTCCGAGCGAAGCGAGTCGACCCGCACTGGGACCGCACACTTGCACCACGCCCGAAATCCCGTTAAGTACCTTCGAGCGAAGGGCGTTACGATGACACACGTTCACCCCACACCGATTCATCAACAACACACCAAACCAGTCTATGCCTTTTTTGTGTCATACAGAAAGTTGTTTTCGAATGCGCGAAGTACTTACATTGAGGGCTGTTGATTGTGGGGTGATATCACGGCACGACGCGCCTTTCAACCCAAATTCTTCGGCGTAAAACATGACGTTACGAGTAGTTTTGAGTATAAATGAAACAATCGCAGTCTCGAAAGAAGATGAGCTGTTCGTTTCCCATGCTGTGTACAATTGGCGCCCGCAGCTAAGAAATATTATGTTAAGAAATTGAGGCTCACTTTTTCACGAAAAAGAAGAAAATAGGGTTAAGAAACAAGCATAGCTCAATCTGGGTCACTCACACAATAAGAAATGTCTCAACAAGAACCACAGCGGCGACCGCTGCCCTACTACATAAGAATTACCCTTAACAACATATTCGCCTGATTGAGAGCGTAGCATCTGATTGAGAGCGAGATTGCGCGATACGCTGTAGCCGGACTACCACTGAGAGGTGGAGCTTGCTGTGTAGCTTGAATTGAAGGGCTAGCCCGTAGCTTCAAGCCGCTACCCTGGTCATCCTGTGGGAGTCTCTCGTTGTGGAGCTACAGCGGGGAGCAGAAGCTACAGCAGAGCCCACCGCCCGACGCGATACCGCCCTGAAACAGTTTGAGCAGAAATAGCCAATCTGGGCAAATCTAGCAACTTGTCTAGCTCCTCGCTGCAGCATCCGATGACGATGACACGCATATGCTCGCGAAGCTGCTGATGAGGCCTTCAATTTGCACCGCTTCTTGGAATAGCCCGTCCCCTACTTGCCAAGAAATGGCAAGAGGCGTCTGGACCCGAAATTTCAATTTTTTGGGCTCTCGCTCTCAATCAGATACTTCGCTCTCAATCAGGCGAATATGTTGTTCCTTGCGGAGCACAGAAGAAATACCCTTCTTTGCGCGGAATGTTAGAAAGGCTTACCCCATCAGACTACGCATTCAGCGCTGACTAGTCTAATGGTATAACTTTATCTTACAAAGGATACACGCTCAGCACATTAGCACCTGGCTGGATCACTTGAGTTTATGGCTTATTGAGAGCAGGGATCTCCGCGGACGGACCCCTCGCCAGACGCTGCCTGAAAAGAACTTTCTTCATGGTATTTTGGGAAAGTGAGTAGCCGGGATTCGAACCCGTGCGTGAACCTTTTATCGCCAATCGTTGAAAGAAACTAATTGTCAAGTCAGCGCTGACTTCGTAGTCTATTGGGGTAAGCCTTCCTAACAAAGGATACACGCACGGGTTCGAATCCCAGATGTTCACTTTCACAATCACCCTTGGTTCTTTTCCGGCAGCGCCTGGCGAGGGGTCCGTCCCCGTAGAATCCTACTTCTATATTACCAGTGACCAGCCGGGTGTCTACGAACCGAGAGTGTATCTTTTGTTAGAAAGGCTTACCCCATTAGACTACGCAGTCAGCGTTGACTAGTCTCATGGTGTAACTTTATCTTACACGGTAGAAAGCTCCTCTTGTTGACACATTAATGAGTGTTGGAATATTGTCCCCGCTTCGGGAATCGCCACAACAATAGACGATGCCTCCGCTGTGCCTTGTCAGGAGACGATGACAACGATGAGGACCCGCTGACCCAGCTCGACGACGATGACGACTTGTCGCCTGAGGAAGAACGCTGAAGATGGACATCCCGGACGGGTTTCGACTCCAGGCGCCTCCGCCGGCCCTCGATCAGTCGATAGTGAAGCGTGGGGTTCTCATGAAAATCGGGTTGGGTTGGTTCGGAAGAGTAATTTGTCGCAGATCTCACCCCGCTTCGCGGCAGGAGTACGACTACCGCGTCATCCTGCACTGTGACGAAAGCACGCGTAGCATGAAGATGTCGTTGGAGTCGTACAGCACGGATGAAGACGCCGCAATTGGGGCGTGGGTTCTCCTAGAGGTAGACCCAAAGTAAGGGAGCGGGAGGCGCAAAAGGGTGACAACCCCCAATGTTCGCCTCACGGAGCTTGCAACATAATGACGGGGTAGTTTCGTTGTTGGCACGTCAGCGTGCGGGTGAGGCATCATGCGGTGTTTATGCAATTGTTTAGTTTCAGCCCTCATTCATGAAGGGGGTACGGGACCTTGTAGCGATAGCAAGACGTTGCCGCTGGATACATTTCGCTTCTAGGGAGTGGCCTTACGTGCAGCCGTCGGTAGTGAGAATCGGGGTTGAGTACGGGGGTCGAGGAAAGCATTGCAAACCATTTGTATATTTGGAACGTTGGGTATGCATGCAAGAAGAGAAATAAGAAATTGCCGTTTGAAGAAATTCAGCAGGATTTGACTGCCCGAAAAACTAAGAAACACGAAATAAGAAACTGAACGACATAGTCTACGCTGAGTTTATAGCCCACAATAAGGATTCGAGGCTGGACCTGAAATAAGCTTTTCTTAACTGCGGGCGCCAACTGTACAACGACCGCATCCCATCCATGCTAAAAAAAACTCTTGAGCGCACGGGGACTCACGAGTCGGACTCACTCGTACTTCGATACATACTTCACAACAAGCAGTGATGCATGCTGCTGTAAATAGCTACACACACAACAATAGTACATAGCATCTGCAATTGTCGGAAGGCAAAAATAAATAAATAAATAGTACATAGCTACACACACAACAGCCGTGTGCATACATAGACTAGACTAATACTTGACTCTTTAAGCAGCAGCACCGCCGTACGCAATGTCCGTGGGCTTGAGCAAGCAAGAACCCGGCGTCAGGACGTACGCATCACGACCATCCACCGCCTTGGTAACGACTACAGGTCAGTACTTTGCATTGTATGCATACCTCGCGACCACAACAAAATTCCTCCCTCGTGTGGACATTTGATCTTTTCAAACAGGGCAAGACAGAAAAACCACCCACCACCACGAAAAAAATCTCACCGCAGGCTTAATGCATCCGTTTCGAGGTAGCCCAAGGAAAGGATCCCCAAGCTAATGTGCCCACACACGGAGCCGATGGTGGTCGCGGTGTCGATGCCGACGAACTGGAGTGGACGCCGCTCTTTCGTCATTTCTTTTCGAAAGCTCTCCTGAGCCAGCAGTAGTACGTCGCCATATTTCTCGATTTCCACTTCTGCCTGTTGTTGCTGACCGACCGCAGATGATGCGCACGGAGCTTGCTTGGGAAGCAGTAGCCTTCCCCCAGCCAATTTCGGAGGCTTGCCTGTAGAGAGCTGGCGCCATGCCGAAGGCTTTGCGGCGACGGTAAACGCGCCTCCGGTAGCACCTGGACACGACCTCACCAGCCCGTATCTTCGTCGGAAGAAGCTGCTGATGATGCTGCCGCTGCTGCCGCCATTGTTGCGGCCACCGTGAGAAGCAACTGCCCTACCCAAGCTCATCCCCTGTCTGCTGTGCCGTGGTGGCTGTTCCTGGATTCGAAGCAACAGAGAGAGGTCGCCGAATCAGTTGGGTGTGTCTGTTGCCGGCTGTGGTTGCCTTGTGGTCACTGCTGTACAGCCACCGTTGCGGTAGGCATGGCAACAACCTACACGGTTGCGGGCACAGCAACAACAAGGAGATAAAGAGCCAGCCCCCTGCTTTGCTGCTGCTGGTGCGACTCAAATCTTATTTTTTTGGTGGACAAATATCTTCGAGCGCAAGGCTGGCAGTACCTTTTCAGGCGCAGCACGCAGGGATGTTGTGTCCCTACCTGATTACGATCGTGTACTCTTTCCCGCTTGCTGTCAACAGACCTCCAGGATGAAGACCAACGAGCCCGTACAGTAGTCAGGGCTGTGAGCTTGTCGTAGTTGAAGGGTTGATAGGTGTGACGCCACAACTTGACACATGTCACAGAATCTTGCCTTTGATGATCCCACGAATGCGGCCGAATACGTATCTACCACGCCACAAACTCGAACTTTGGTCGCGGTTCGCCGGAACATTCATGTACCGTAGGTGACACAAGATACCACACCCCCTGAACATATATATTTTCAAAGCTCGATTACTCCACAGCAGCAAGAGTGGCGGTGCCGAGAGTTGCGGCGTTGGAACCGTCTCGTCGATAGATTTCCGAAAACGTATCTCGTTGGCTTGCATTGTACTGTACATCCTCGGCGTTGTGGACTAACATTGAGCTGTGTGTATTGCCCAAGGGGGTGCGATACCTCACGTCAGTCACACTAGACAGCAGTACATGAGGTACGCGAGACCTCGGCTGGAATAACCACAAGAAGTAATGCAAGAGCACGCACAACCTGGGATGGTGCAGTTGCTGACTACACATGGTACGTGGGACGAAAATAATAGTGTTCCGTTCTTGATGTACTTTTTTTCTCGGTGTCTTGTGAGCGAATGAATGGAGTATGTTCACGGTAGGGCCTTCCTTGTCAGTCAGTGTTCTGCTGTACTGAAAAAAAAGTCAATCAATAGATCCAGCACCGATGGATCTGTTTCCCTCTTCCCTCGCAGCAGCAGTACAGAGTTCAACTCACAGCATGCCAATGTTTTCGACACAGCCCTTCGAATCGGGCGGAATCTCGAACGTTGAATTACTGGAAGTTAGTTGTGAGTGATCACTATCATCATGTGTTTGTGTCGCTGGCGGAGAGAAACAAGCAAGAGGCTGACTGGTCGATAATAAGGAGACAAAACACGCCTGCCTCACTCACTCACGTTGCCGCGCAAAGTTGCGGTGTGTGATTGCTATTACTTTCGGAGTATTTGATCTATCTCGCCAAATGCATGCATGTACCAGAGGCAATCGCCGGTGGTGATTGATGAGCATCAACAACACACCTGCTTACAACCATCCATCATATTCATTCATGGTCGCACCGCCTCGATCGAGCAAAGAGCTACACGTAGTTCGTGTAGGTCGTGTTCCGATTGTTGCTTTCTTTGAAGGACACAACGCGCGCCGCCACCATTGACCATAATTCTTCATTGATTTGCACCATGCGGTATTCCGACCGAACCCATAGAGAGATGAGTGAAATGATTATTGTTATGCGGAATGGATTATTGTTATTGCGATCATCATGCTTGTCTGGTGTGATTTGAGTTTGTTGACCTCGGGAGCGCGTGAATAAGCGGAACTACTCACCACCACCCGCTGAAAGACGTACGTGTGCAGCGGTGCGCACGATCTGCCATGAAAAATAATGTGCATAGTAATGGTGCCTATCTATCTTACAGCACGCAAGGGACCACAGATAGTGCTAAGTAGTAGATAAACGCCGAGACAATGAAAATGAATATCAAGTCCACAGACACAAAGCGTGTAGCGCCCAACAAAATAAACGAACGGATCAATAATCCCAATTCCACCCCCCCTCCTCCGCCAGCCAATGACCAATCCATTGCCCTTAACCCACACACACTAGAACAAATATCTGAAAATCAATTAGTTGGCTGTTCTCACGTCGATATCAAGAGCAGTGATGATGCTGCCAGCCTCAGCCTCACAGGAAACGAAGTACTGCGCTGCCGCCTCACCACCAGGCACATGATCGGTAGTGTAACAGGAGTGGACCCTTTTACTTCACTCACGCACAGCACACTGCACGCATGCATCGTACAAACAAGAACACATGACACAATCACAGCCAGCCGGTGAAAAGCAAGAACGACTGAATGAAGAACGCACACAATCATGATGAAATTAGCTATCAGTCTTGTGATACACGTCTACCGGCGGCATCAATCACCACCGACGTTTCTCCTCGCCCCTCTCCCCCCTGCCTTCCCTTGTCCCTAAGCTTATCGCAGCGCCGAAAGAGTTGCGAATCACTGGGGCACCCCTGCATGCTATCCTAGCCTAACCCCTACCACCATCCTCACCATGGAGCCGTTCGTGGCTCCGGTAGTTGCTCGCGTCCTAACATATACTGCGGCTGCACGCGGCAGCATCTCAAGCTGGACAGCTCCTACTATAGATAAGTAGCAGCCATACAGTAGTCTACCTGCCACGAAGAAGAGCCACGCACCAAAAAAATAACGTTCCGATATGGACCTCAAACTTAAGGTAAAATCAACTCGGCGCCCGTTGTGAAATACGGGCGTCGAGACACCGTCACCCCCATCAACCTGCCGCCAGAAAATACAGCAACAACGACCACAGTAGTATCAACAGCAGCAACAGCAACAACACTCTCGCGCGGTGCGCAACATACACAGGGCTGCCCTTAGGCGACCACTGCTCTTGGTGGAGAGGGCGCGTGCAC